CAAACTGCCTTAATTTTTATGTTTTGTTAGATCAATTATTACATCAAGTCTTGAATATTGTTCTGCTTCATAAGAATTGATAGACTACTTGCCTTTTGTTACTTGGGTGGTTGTGTTGGTGTTGGATTTATCCAAGCTCTCAAAATGTTGGTTTGGAATTATATAAATATACGAAGTATAATGCATTAATGCACACTAGTTGGGAATTTAATGAATGATTTTTGGGATCTGGAAGCCTATAGATTTGGCTCCATGAACTCAAACTCAATGTGCATTCCTACGAAACACTAGGGATTAGTTACTACGGAGTACATGATTTTGTAGATGGGTAAATTACTATATTGAATCTTGAGATTTTCTACTTATTTCATGAAGTTATTGCTTATTCTTGTTAGATTCAAACCACATTGTATATTAGTATATCACCTTGTTAATTGAGACACATTTGTCAAATACTCAGTGGATAGTTTTTTTTTCTCATACAATGTGGTCAATAATTAGTCTAACTGGTAGTGTGGTACATATGATCAGATTGAAATATTCAAATTGAACCTTCAAATCTGACAAGGTGAAGAGAGCAAGAGCTAAGAACTCCCTTATGTTTATTGAATTAGGTTTTTTCTCAATGTTATCTGTTAATTCAACCTTTCAGCAAGTTGCAAAATTGTAATGTACAGCTCAATGAGTAACAACTAAAGGACGTAATGCTATATAATGTACGAGTAATTATTTGCATATTCCTGTTTGTTTAACTTTTTCAGTTTTCATTGTTAGGAAAAAAAACTGTCATTGTAATTTTTTTTAAGAGTTGGACAATCGATCTCTTTTTCTCTTTTTTTTTTTTATTTTATTTTTTATTTTATTTTTTTATTCTTTTTTATAAGAAATTCGAGACAAGATTATATTAAATCAATATCGCCAAAATCGTAAGGCTTTGGGGAAAAGGACCTAAACAATCACACCCCCTAAATTGTGTATCTAGTAGCTCTAGTTTTGATGCCCGAGACAATCGACGTATCATCACTTTCCAAATGAACCTTCGAGTCGATTAAGTACTCTCCAAGTATATTTTGATTAGAAAACAAATAAGGTGATACTCTCATTGTAATTTTGTAGGGATTCAAAATTAAACAAATTAATTTATAAATATCGATTTTGAAATATCATCAAAGAATTTTAATTATAAGAAATGAATTTTATGTAGCAAAGAATAATAGGTTGTTTTTCATGGCATGATTATAGGATACGTTTCATTTAAGATTGTTCCAAATAAAATTCTCATTTCTTCACCAATAATTTTACGACATATAATCACCACTAATACCTTTGATTATTTTTTGAAAGACTATTACCTTTAATTATATTTTAGTAAAAAATTAATATGAGGAAGTATATATTTGAGACAATTTAACAAGACCCCACTTGACTATACTTTTTAACATATAAATCACAAAAAACTGTAAAAGAACGAAGTGAGATTAAAGTAAATTTTCCAGAGACTCATAATCTGGGAGTAGTACATGATTTTATTAATTTTATAAAATATTTACAATGTTCAAGTATTTTTTTTTTTTGAAAGTTTAGTATAATATACAAGTATAAATGTGTAAAATAAACTTAAAATAATAAATAAATAAATAAATATTTGAATTAGGTTTTGTACCTCTGCAATTGCACACCCTTCAGGCCTTCACTACTGAACAAGATTTGCAAACCGCTTTGCTGTTCCTGTAAACCGCTCTCCATTTTCTCCGGTAAGTGCCCTCGTTCACTCTTCATAATTCTCTCTCTTTACTTTTCTATAATTATAAAATATTCAACGGTCTTCGAATCGAATTAATGTTTATTGAAGTATTCTAATCATTTAGATTAAATGATTTAATTTCAGTTTGTATGCGATTAGTTGATGATTGTTTATTGTCCCCAAATCATTTTGGGACTAAGGCTTTGTTGTTGTTGTTGTTGATGATTGTTTATAGTTCAATTCCAGTTATTTTATTGAGTTACTAGTTGATGGGTTTTTATGAAATCATCTTTGTTGAAGTTCTAATTTATGCTTGGCTAGTTTTTAATCTTTTTGTAAGAATTATGCAATGTGGGATGTGATTTTGCGGGCAAAAGTTTGGTCCTTTTTATGAATAATCTATGATTAGTAGACATTTTCACTTACCAATGATCATTATCTTCTTACTTATTAGGTTTTTTATTTGAATTTATGTTTTGCTTTGTTGTTTGTAAGTTTGCCAGTTCAATGGATTAAGGTTGAGGTTCCGTTATCGCCTTTTCCGGGTTGTGTGTGTTGCTATCACTCTGAATTTGACTGTAAAGATGAGAACAGTTGGGTATAAGAGGTGTAAAAGCATGAAGCATTAAATCTTGAGGGTTTGAAGTGTATGGAAGGAGTGTTTGTCTAGTGCCTTGCCATTGCTCTTCGATTGTGTGTATGCATTTGCAGAATTTGATAGCAATCGAAGGTGTTATTCGTAATTTCGTGAGATAAACAAAACTGTACACCCTAACAAGCTTTGGGTATTGCTATGGGATCATTATCATTTTGGTTTATTATTTCTTTGTGAGACTGCTACTTGTTTGCTTCATTTGTTTTTGTATGTTTGAAGGCTTGAAGCCATTCTAACTCAAAGTTATACTGCAGGATATACATTTATTTTTGTCTTCTGTCATAACAGATGGGAGGACACAGACCACCCAGGAAGCAGAAGAATCACCGCTGCCAGCGAGGTCAACCGAGCTCCAGCGGTGACCCCTCTATGGAGGGCAGGTCTCTCCCATCTGAATATGACTTAGACCAAGAGAGTGAACAACCTACTCCTGCAGTTCAGCTTGCTATGTGGGATTTTGGACAATGTGATGCAAAAAGGTGTACAGGACGGAAGCTGGCTAGGTTTAATTTGTTAAAAGAATTGCGTGTGAATGCTGGGTTTGGGGGCATCGTCTTGAGCCCTGTTGGAACTCACTGTGTATCTAGAGAAGACTATCCTTTGATCAAGCAGAGAGGATTGGCTGTCGTGGACTGCTCATGGCACCGATTGACTGATGTTCCTTTTGCAAAACTCCGTTGTACTGCTCCTCGGTTATTACCATGGTTGGTAGCAGCAAATCCGGTGAATTATGGCAGGCCATGTGAGCTATCTTGTGTAGAAGCATTAGCTGCTGCACTGCTGATCTGTGGTGAAGAGGAGACTGCACATTTGTTGCTGGGGAAGTTCAAGTGGGGCCATGCATTCTTGTCACTTAATAAGGAACTCCTTAAAGCTTATTCTGAATGCAAAGATAGTGCTGAGATAATTTCAGCTCAGAATGCTTGGATATCCAAACAACAAAACCCACAGGCCTCTAATATCCTACAAGATGAAGAAGACAAAGATGAAGCATTGAGTGACGAAGAAGCCGATTCTCATGATTCTGATGATGGGCTCCCGCCACTTGAAAGGAATTTTAATCATTTGAAGTTAGAGGAGGCTGAAGAGGAAAGTGAATCAGAGGAGAGTGAAGAGTAAGGTAGCTTAGGAGGCTACAACTTTGTCTGTTAATTAAGATTAACCACGAATGAAACTTTTCTATAACATGCTGCTGCTGACCTGCTGATCTATAACATGCTGGCTTGCTGCTGCTGACCTGCTGTAGTCTACAGGTGAATTGATCTCAGTAGAAGGCCCGGGGCCTCAGGCAGATGTACTGTTTTGCGGGCATTTGATCTCTGGTAGTTTGGTTATCTCGGCTCACATGATTTACAAATCGATCTATAATTGTGTAAGTTCGGTTCATGGATATTTGAGGATTTAGTTTATGTATTAATGTACCATGGGGCATTGAGCTTAGTTTTTCATGTGTAACATAGTCTGGAATCTAGTATGCGTATAGGCTTAACTTATTATATTTTATAAGAAATAAAAATGACTGGTTGGCATTTCCTTGTACTTGATTTCCATGTTTAACGAATTTCCGCCTTTAAAAATCACTGGTTATGCGATTGTATCATTGAATTGTTACCAGAATGGCTCGCCACCATTAGTCACTTGTAGGTACCTAATACTGCATACAAAGCAATATGTGATGACATTATCAACATTTACTTGTACTACTCTCCAAATATTGGACAAGGAGAAGGGGGAGGATTAAAACTTGGGAAACATGGCAATAATATGAAAACAATCATTTGTTAGCAATGAAATTTATAGTGTGTATAGTAAGAAATCAGAGGTCAGTTGAAGACTTGCAGAAGCTGCTTTTTTATATATCATCACAGATTCCAGATTTTTTTGGAGTAGCAGTGATTCTATTAATTTAGAACTCAGGTCAGGATACCTTATAAGCAATGTTTTAGTAAAGCGGATGCTAGCTCTGGTATACAAGATCAACAACTATGTCTTAAGATGGTTACATAAAAATAGTCACCTGGAATTACATCTCTGAAAGAGAACCCAACTGGAACCCATTTAGGGTGCACAGTGCACTGAAGTTATCATTTGTTGTAGTCTACATTTTGTAACGATGTTTCTTTATCACGGCAAACCATCTTATTAGGCTATTAGCTTATGATTTGTGCCATATATCAATGGCTGCAGCAAGAATGAGCAACCTCATAATGAATTACATAGATTTGGCCACTATATTGCAGTATTGTTGGACATGGTACAATATACAGGTGTCAGGATCAGACTTGGGGAATTTTTGCATGACCAATAGAGGGTGAAAAGAACCGAAAATCCTCTTTTACTTTGTTCTTTCCAGATACATGGCAAGTCATAAGTTTCAAATACTCTTTACTGAAATTTTCGGTGTCCAACATGAAATACTTGGGATAGATCGAAGAGTCCAGGTAGCATAACTGTTGTGAACGTGTGATGCTTTGTCTTTGATATTATATTTCTCCAAATCAAACTATTGTATCTGCGACATGCTTGTTAAACCCTCAGGGCCCTTTGATACCTAAATCTTAACAATTCTATGCCTGCATAGTAGACGAGGATCCTTATGCATTATATTAATATACCATCAATATCTTGCCGTAACATCATATTTCCTTGCAGTACCTTTAGCTGAGCCTTTACTTCTTCAATCTTTGGGTGTGATTGATCACCTGATGAGAAAACTTCCAAGCTTTTCACTGTCTCAACCCAGCTCAATCCTGGATCCTTTTCCAACATCATACCTCTTATCCTTTTCCTGACTTCCATGACACCATCCCAACTCCCCACAGAAGCATATAGATTTGAAAGTAAAGTATGAGTTGCACTATCTTGTGCATCAAGTTGTAAAGTTTCCCTCGCAGCATGAAGTCCCATAGACAAATTTTTGTTAGAAACAGCAGAACTCAGCACAGTTCTCCACAATGCAAGATGATCCTTGCCAAAATCTGACTCATGGATAATTTCCACCGCCTCTTCTAGCAACCCTGCTCGACTGAGCAAACTTACCATACAAGCATAGTGCTTAAACCCTGGATATAGTCCCTTGTCCTTCATGTAACTCCACAAGCGTTTCCCTCTCTCAACTAAACCACAGTGGCTGCAAGCAGAGAGTAACGAAATAAATGTCACTTGATCTGGTTTCAGACCATGAATTAGAAACTCATCAAACAGTTTTATTGCCTCCTCAGCCTTCCCATGGTGACTGTAGCTGCCTATCATCGAGTTCCAACATTTCAAATCAGGGTATTTGATCTCAGCAAATATTGACTTGGCAGCTTGCAGGTCACCATTTTTGGCGTATGCATTGATCAGACTTCCACATACTGCCATCTCAGAATCACAACCAGTTTTCATGGCCAAAGAATGAAGCATTTCACCTTGATTCAAAGTTGCAAGATCAGCACATGCACTCAAAGCACTACTTAGAGAAAAGTCATCAATTTTATAACCCTGTTGCCACATATCATAGAAAAATTTGATTGCATTTGTACTATCTTCAACTTTAGAGTAACCGGAAATCATTTCAGTCCACAGAACCACATCTTTATTTGAGATTGTGTGGAAAACCCCTTCAGCAGATTCAACTTTTCCATGTCCAAAATACATGGAAATCAGTGGACTCCCAACAAACACACTGTTATCCAAACCATATACTATGACCTGTGCATGGAGGGGTTCCCCATAGTATAAAATTGGGCACTCTTGAACGGCAGAGATCAAAGCTGCAAAAGTATATTCATCTGCTTTACGACCAGCACGATGCTGCAGTTGAACAAATAGAACCATAGCTCTCTCGCCTTCTCCTTTCTCTGCATACCCTGCCATCATCGAGTTCCATGACACAATATCCGGATCCTGCATTCCTTCAAATAAATGGAATGCAGATTGGGTGTCGCCACAACTGGAGTACATGTCAATCAATGTATTCTGCAAGGGCAAATCTAGGAACACGCCAGTCAAAATAACTTGTGCATGAGCAAGTCGACCAAAAGAATAATCACTTAATCTTGCACAGGCATTCAGTACCATTGAAAACGTAAACTCCGTTGGGATTGCACCAGTCCTCAACATCTTTCTAAATAAACATAACCCTTCTGCCATCCTATTATTTTTCACATACCCTGATATAATACAATTCCAAGTGTACTCATCTTGGATAAGCACATTTCCAAACACTTGATTCACAGAACTTAAATCCCCAAAATTAGAAAAGAAACAAATCAAAGCAGTCTGAACCTGCACATCAAACAACTGACCGGACTTAACAATCAAGCAATGAAGAGCTAACCCATGTAACTGGTCTCGAGCAGCAGAAGCCGACTGCAATAGGCTTATAAACGTTGCCCCATTTGGTGTAAAACATTGAAACCTCATCTGGGAAAACAATCTAAAAGCATAAGAACCCGAATCAAGATGACGGGCAAAGGCCGAAATGATGGAATTATAAGTGATGAAGTTTCTTTGAGGCATTTTGTCGAACACAAGGCGGGCATCAAAGACCGAGCCGCATTTGGCATACATGGAAAGGATGTTGTTATGGAGGAATGGTTTATGGTAAGTGAATGGTGTAGAGGATGTTAAGATGAGGGCATGGAGTTTCTGGGCTTTCTTAAGTGAAGTAATGGTGGTGCATTTTTGTAGGAGAGAGATTGTAAAAGAAGTAGCTTCATTCATTTGTGAATTACAGGTTTGTGGGTAAACTGCAAGTTCAAGTTTTGAGTGCTTGTAATTTAAGATTTAACCAAAACAAATTGGTTTTTTTGCCCGCCAAAAGTCGTTACAGCAAGGGTGTTAAATACTAACTGTTAAAGACTTATAGAGGCTATTTGTCGTAGTAGCATACTTGTTCCGTTTTTCAATAACTTTTAAGACTTAAAGAGGTCATTTCTAGTAGCAGCATACTTCTTTTGCTTCTTCATAATGTTTAAGACTAGGCCGTTTGTTGTAGTAGCATACTTGTTCGGTTTCTTAATAAGAGACTTACAGTTAATACTTAAAGAATAAAGTGGCCATTTGTTGTAATTGCATAGTTGGAGTACTACGCATGTTTTTACAATGGAGCAAAAGTGATTAAAAATTTCATCACTCCTCAAATTAGATAATGTCTTTTGTTCATATTTGAAATATTTTTAAGAAACGAAAAAGTTAAAATAGGAAGTACAATAAAGAGCACAGGAGTATAATCCTCGAATAAAATTGGTACAATAACTACTAACCACCTGTGTTGAAACTTGAAATGGCCTAAGAGATTCAGTTTAGAAATCAGTATTTGATATTGCTTATAAAACAAAAATCAGCTTAATAGCAGAATTTACATTTACATAATACACCGGATCATGTCAATTTCACATAACCCCATTAATACTACCTCTGTCCCTATTTAAATCAGATTGTTTTGTGAGTCACAAAGTCCAACGTGGACATGTTGATGAAGAGAGTGCTTGTCTACGGATCCAACTATAATAAGGGTACATAGGAAGTAATACATTTGTCTAAATAATTTAAACTTGGAAAGACACCGGGTTTCTTTTAGGCCATGACTCGATTTTCTGGAAATATTTAGCAGGGACAACGCCATCAAAGCCTTCTGTCAGTATTACCCCATTTTCAGACTTGTAAAACTTCATTCCATCTGCCAAGGTAAGAAATGGTGAAACAAATTGCATCAGATTTGGTCGGGGGGTCTACGTTGTCACTAACTATTACTTTCGACAAGCTATGAGCAGCAGAGTTATAGATATAAAATACTGAAACCTGGAAGTGTACCTTCCATTGCTTTCGTGGTGTCTATGAAGATTATCAAGTTAACATCACGCCTAAAACCTGGAAAATGGCCCAAAACACATCATTGTAGATTCATGACAAGAATACGAGGAATTTTTAACATATCACCATTGATCACATTAGTAACTATGTTATAAATTTACAGAATTTGTCATGTACAATATAATAATATATGGATAACAATACTGCTCACAGTGTGGTGAGAGAATTATGAGAAATAAAACAGTAAAAGAAACATGCAGAAGATTGCAAATCTTAATGGTCCACAGGAAATCACAAAAGACATTAAAAAACTGATCAGGAAACCTCTCCATATACAGTATACATACCACTTTTTACTTCTCCATCTGTTGGTAAGCCACATGCAAAGTGAACGTGCAACCTGCTCATTCGCTTCAGACCAGATGCAAGAATAGATTGAAGAAACCTCTTATATGTACCATGAACACAAACTACATATGAACGAAATTTCTAAGAGTTATCATCTAAACAGAGTAATTTGCCAGCAAGCAATATGGAGATCTGAGTCCTTAAGCGCAGTGCATACCAGGGATCTCTTCAGCAGAAAGGATCGGCTTCAATAAACTCTCACTCTCTACAGACTGAATAACCAAAGAGAGAAATAACAGTGAAGCAGATGTTACGGAAAAGAGTTCATCAAGAAACATCTATTGTTTTTAGAAAGAAAATAAAACGACAAAGCACTAGGTGGATTTTCCCCAAGCTCCAAAGACTACTCCCTAAAAACCTCACATGGAATTGGAAAGCCAAGGGTCATGGCCATATTGCTTTTGCCAATGCCCATGGGTAAAAAAGCTTGAAACAAGTTCGGATGGCGATACCTGAAAACCTAATTTTTATAGATTTGCCTCACGTTCCCATAAATTACATAGCAAATAACCAAAGGGCCATTTTGCACACAAATTTTAGCCTCAATCTCCCTATTCAAAAATAAAATAAAATCAAAATAAAAATAAAAAATCAAAATCAAACCCGATTCATCATATTCTCCCCTCTCCCCCAAACACCAAGTATTTCCAATCATTCCATTCCCCTTTATTGCTATATATCCTCATGGACCAGGCCAAATGTTCTCAACTTTAACATACTACCTTCCCCATTCTTATGCCCACAAGTGCAACACACTATATTCCTCACTCCAACTGCCAATTTATTTCCCAGTGAGAATGCCCCAATCATCTGCTGACCTTAAGTCACAGTAAAGCTGATGGCATTTTCACCACCATAATAACCAGAAAGGACACAATAACAGCATATTTAAAAGTGTATATGAATCTCTGTCAGCTAACCATAACAATGGTGAGCCGTAAATGGTTAAATTTGACCAGCAAGACTCCAAATTAAGATCCTTCATGGTCAATTCTACTACCAAAGGAGCGCCCTGGGAGCTGAACTAATGAGACAGGGAGCTAGTACGAAACTTGTGCACTAAAAGCTATAAATAATTAGATTTGACCAGCAAGGCTCCAGATTAAGAGCTTCATGATCAATTCTACTACCAAAGGAGCACTTGGGAACTGAACTAATGAGACAGAGAGTTAGTAGGAAGCTTGTGCACTACGAAGGACATCAATTCTAAACAGCATGATGAGGATAGAATTGTTAGCGGAGGGGACTGTGGGGTGGGAAAGGTAGGAGACCTAGGAGTGAGTTGACCAGAAGGGATATTGAGAGGGAACAAGAAAAAAAAGGTTGTCAACAAGATAAAGATGAAATTGTCGGCGATGGGTTCAACAGAAGACGCCATAATGAGGGTGATGAGAAAGGGACACTTGCCTTGAGGGATTAAGGAGATTTTATTCCTGACCACATCACCGACAAAATCCAAAAAAATAAATAAATAAATAAAAATAAAAAAGCATACAATTGCCCTCCCAATCAAACATATTCCGTAAATTAGGGGTTTCCTTTCCTTTTCCCTTCTTTATCTGTCTCTCCTATTTTAACCAAACAAAGCCATACTAGGAATAAAGAATATGTAGCATGGCAATGCAAAAAAGATTGTTACTTCCATTTTGAATTCACGAAATAATTATTTATTTCCACCTATAATTGTATATCTTCCACTTTAAATTAAAAAAATCCTCCATTATTTCCAAGATGAGTCAAGTCTATTTAAATTAGCTTATGAACTGAACTAAAGTAGAATCCAACAATCTAGGTCTTCTCCATTAGTCCAGAGCATTGAAAAGATCAGGAAACGAAACTTGATATTGACTCATGGAGCAGTTCTTGACAATTTTTTCTAGATTAATACACAATAATAGTACTACAAAAATAGCTAACCTTTACAGTATGACCTTGGTTTGCGCGTATCCACAGTTCTCCATCCTCTTCCAAAAGGCCAAGCCTCTGCTTATTGTCTATCCTTACAGCCTGAAAAATATGCAGATCAGTGTCAAAGTGTACTGAGAACAAAAGAACTAAAAGAACTAAAAGAATCAATGCCAAAGACATAAGTATGAGCTATTATAAGAATATAATAAAATAAAGCCTTGAATTTATTTGCATGTTTTTACAGAGCCAAGAAAATAAAAGCCCCAAATTACTTCTATTCTTAGATTCTAAAATAGAACCTACTCAAATAGCTTGTTGGGTTTCAAATTGGCAAAGTTTTTGGTAAATTGTACTCCGTAATACATATGTACTTGTATCAAATTTGGATAAAAAAAAAGTAGTCTAATAAAAGGAAATACAATGTCTAAAAATGTATCATATTATACCTATTGCTTGTCTTTTTTTTCTTTTGGAAAAGTAATGAGTTAATTTCATTACTTGATCGAAAAGGGGAGGGGAGAGATTGGAAATACTTGGGGTTTGGGGGAGAGAAATTGAATATACGAAGTATAATGATAAAAAGTTGATCTTTCAAAATCTTTTCACATCAGCACAATTTATAGAAATGAATACATCAGACTTCTGGTCATAAATAAGTGGTAGGAAGGCACAAAAATTGAAGGGGAAAGATTCAAGGACACTTATAAAAGATAAACTAGAAAAATATGTCTATGATGGTTGATCATATGAAATGCTCAATGAAAAAAAGTGGAAATGAAGAAAATTGTGAATTGTGCTTAAGGATTAAATGAAATACGGAAACACAGCAGAACTATAATCCAATCATAAAATTTGTATAAACTATCAACTTATTTTACACAATTGGGTGATCATCAATGCGTGAGAAAAAAAGCAATGGGACTTACTTCTCTAATTTCATCAATAGAATGTGAGCTTAATGGGATATTTGACCTTGTTTTCATGTTCAGCTTTAATAAATCTTGAAGCTTGACATATCCATCACTACGCATGTCCAAATTCAGCTCCGTCGCATTATGTCTCAATATACGTACCCTAATAAACACAAAATGCTTGATTATGTTTCCAAATCCAATACAAAAACAACAAAATGTTAACGGTCTTGAGCCTTATGAAAAAGGGTTGCAATGTTTATAAGGAAAAAAAAGTCTTCATAACGCAAAGGAAATAATGTATAAACAAAAAAGGTTGCGTAGTACTTACAACAGTCTACCAAGAGTATCAATTCTATCTGAAGTACCAGTAGGAGCACCACGACCACGACCACGACCTCTTGATCCACCACGATTGCCTCTCGTATCTCCATGCTCTCTTCCTCCAGCTAAACTGCAGATTACAAAACACAATAACACAAAATTTAAAATAAGAATTTTTAGACCTATAAAAATGATCTGAATTATTAATAAAAAATCTTTATCAATACAATAATTGGTTCTCAATTCCTAATATACAAATCGATTAATAATCAATTAATCATTGGGTACATGACTTAAACTAACAAAAGTAAATGTAATTCAAATCATTGTTCTACTTAGCATATTTATCAATCAACTTCAAACATAAACATAGAGGATAAAGAGATATACCTCGGTAAATCGCGAGCAAAAGACGAGAAGGAAAAGCTACTGCTTTCCCTACCTCCATCCATTGTAAGGAGAGAGAATTGTCGCGGAGGAAGAAGACGAAGAAAAATTGGGTAATTGATAGCCTTTGATGCTATTGTTACCGGCAATCTTCGGAGCATTAATGTTCCTATAGAAGGGAGTCATAGATTAAGAATTAAGACCATACATTCATACTACATAGAAGTCATAGTATAACACAGTACTAATTCAACATTTTATACACTAGAAATTCCATACCCATATAATTAATCAACAAATTTTCAAAAATAATAGTCTTTACTAACCAGCATATAATCAATAACACAAACCCAATTGAATTATATTAGAAAAAGTAGGTTTAAGAACACTAAATTGAAGTTGCAATTTAATAAAAGCTTACAATATGAACTAATGATCAACATAACTACATTGATTGAGTAAATGAAATTTCAATGATTCCCCATATAATCCTAGTTCATCATATTATTCAATTAATTGCATCAATTGAAACTAGAGTGTATAGTGAATTAAACAAAATTAAAAATTTAGAAAACAGACATGAAAGATTAGGGGCATACTGTAAGGCGATGGGCGGCGTAGACGGCGGGGGGAAGGCGCCTATGATGTATGCGAACAACAACCAATAATAGGAATTAAGGAAGAGCAATTTATTTCTGCAATTAATCCATTGTTTGGTGATTTAAGGGAATTTATAAGGATTGAACCTTTTTTTTTCACTTGCTTAGTTGCTTCCCATCAAACGAACTCTCCTCTAACTTTGGGTTCTTTGGTTCACAAAATTTAGGTACTCTATATGAGGTATTGGTTTAGACTTTAGAATAGAGTGAATAGAGTGATTTCCCAGAATAATGTAATAACACAAACTAATTCCTTATATGCATTGGTTTAAAAATTATTTCCCACGATATCGTCCACGCAGTCTCGGTTTCAAGGTTTGATATTTGCAAGTATAAAACCGCTAACATTGTTGGCGGTTTTAACTGCTATAGAACCTCTAATGTTAGCGGTTCTATGCATAAAACCTATAATGGTATTAGGGGTTCTTTATGTAGAATCAGTGACGGATCTTGAAACCTTTTCTTTCGGGGGCCAATAATGTCTTCAAGGAAATTCAACCCAGGTTTCTATCATCAATCAGGCTTACACAGCAAGTTTTAGTGTAAAAATATTCAGCAATCAAGCCACAAACAACTATACACGTCTATACTGTATTTTCTCTATGAAAACATGCCTTTCAACCCATACATGATACATTAATTGATTAATTATTAATACATACATATAATTGAAAACTTACATTAGAAATCTTACTTGGCTGTTAAAGGTTGGAGGTTGCTTGATCATAATAAGGAAAAATGCAATCAACCCGGCAGCTTTCCTTCCTATCATCAATTATAACATTAAAATCTGAAAATTAGGGTTAACAATTGGGGATTTCAAATTGGGGATTTTGAATGGATTAACAAGACATACTAAATTAATTAATTAATTAAATCAATAATTTCAATGTATAGTATAAAACATTAAGAGATTTCAGATTTAAAAGACATACTGGATTGAGGGTCGAAGGTCGAACGGAAAGCGTAAGCAAAGAACAAGACACTGACGCAGGCAGGCAGCGACGGTGACTCGGTGAGGCTGGGCGGCTGCCGGCTGGCGACTGTGGTGACTGGTGAGGACGGTGAGTCGGTGAGGTTCTGCCGTACTGAGGTCGATCTAACTGGACGAGCACCACTGCACTAGAAATCGATTCCTGAGGTTTTATTCTTTTCAAGGTTTCTTTCTTTCGTTCCAGCTTTCAGAAGTTCAGATTTTTCCTTTTTTTTTTTTTTAAATTGGGCCTTAAATTTTTTTTTTCCAAAACTTATCTGGGGCCAAGCCCACTGAAGCCCCTTTAAAGGTCCGTCAGTGTGTAGAATCACTAATACCACTAGTAGTTCTACATAATTTGGTTGTGAAAGCTAAAGTAAACATGCATAGAACCTCTAATGGATATTAGCCGCTAACATTGTTAGCGGTTTTATACTGCGGAATCCCAAACCTAGGAACCGATCCTACGTGGACGGTATCGTGGGAGATAGTCTTTACACCGACTTATATAAGGAATTAATTTATATTTTAGCATTATTTAGGGAAATCACTCCTTTAAAATATGGTTTAAACTTATATCTTATGTTTGTTTTACTGGTATGATTTAAGAACCATGTTAAATTCTCTTCTTTTTTTAGATAGAGTAGATAAATTCTCTCTCTCTCTCTCTCTCTTTTTTTTTTGGCTACTTATTTCGAAATAAATAAACGTATACTACAAACTCTTAATGCATGAGGTTTATAAACCTAATTACCTAAAGGGTGTTGAATTCAGCTCATACCAATACTTATAGGTATCAAATAAAAGAATAAAATTTCATTCCACAATCAAACCAAACATATGATACTAAAAATCAAGTTCCAAATCCATAGCACTTCAATTTCATTCCTAATTCCAACCATATTGCTAATGAACAATTATCACACGTCCACAAATGACAAACCATGAAACCATAGTGAATTAGTGACAAGTCAATTTAAGATTGCAAAAGTGCAAACCATGCTCAAAGCCAAAAAAAGCTACACAACAATAGTTTCTGAAACGGGTAACCGGAGCTTCCAGTCACCCCCACAAACACCACCATTTCAAATTCTTAACACTCACTTTCTCTTCTCTCCTCACTCATTCCCTCCTTTCTTCTTCTTCCTCCCATCCCTTTCTTCGCCCACATTTTCTCTCTCCTCCGCAAACCAAAATACACACTTCCACAAAATAAAGCACTCATCTTTTTTCACCCTTAACCTTTTCACCTCAAACCCAGAAAAAAATGAAGCTAACCCATTATTCTTTCCTCCTTTTTCTGCCCCTTTTTCTCATATGCCCACCAACTGTTTGTGAAAATGCCGAGCTGAAGACCCTCATTGATATCAAAACCTCTGTTGACCCTCACCATACATTTCTTTCTTCTTGGACTGTTAATGGGGATCCTTGCAGTGGTACATTTGAGGGTGTTGCTTGCAATGAGTTTGGCAAAGTTGCTAACATTTCATTGCAGGGTAAAGGGCTTGATGGGGTTTTACCTGCCGCCATTGGTGAGCTTAAGAGCTTATCTGGGTTGTATCTGCATTTCAATAGGTTGAGTGGTGAGATTCCTAAAGAAATTGCTGGGTTAACTCAGCTTACTGATCTGTATTTGGATGTCAATTACTTCAGTGGCAATATTCCTGAACAAATTGGAAATATGTCTAATTTGCAAGGTCAGCTGTCTAATTATTATCTGATTTCAATATGTTATGCAGACTCGAGTACTCGTGTTGGATACAACTTGGCTATTTTATGAAAACTTTCCATGAATGCGGCGTTATATGAAGTGTCAAGAGTGTTCAAGGATCCGACACGAGAACTTGAGTGAAAATGAAGACAACATGTAACATAGCTTTTTTTTTTCCTTTTCTTTCTGTCACCTTTGTTTCATTTACATCTTGGTTTCTAGAAAATGCATATATATTTGTACTTGTCAATTTGTACATGTGATTGGAATTGCTAATTTTGATATATGCATCTGTAAATCACAAATTAAGAAGCAAAAAAAGATGCAAACTTTGTTAGAAAATTTGTTCTTGCTTATTAGAAAGGTTTTTGTTTTGCATTTTGCAGTATTCGAAATGGGTTTTGAAGATAACTGAAAGTGTTTCAATTTGCTTGTCTTGTATTGCAGTGTTGCAGCTATGCTATAATAAGTTAAGTGGGAATGTGCCAACACAAATAGGTTCTCTCAAGAAGCTTAATGTTCTTGCTTTGCAGTATAATCAGTTAACTGGTGCTATTCCTGCTAGTTTGGGAGGCTTGGATATGTTAACCAGGTTGGATTTAAGCTTCAATAGGTTGTTCGGTTCGATTCCAGTCAAGTTAGCTGAAGCACCCTTGTTGCGAATTCTTGATGTTCGAAACAATACTCTTTCTGGGAATGTGCCTGCTGGTAATGTGAATTTCTACTCCATCTATTTTAGTCAAGATTTGCTCAGTAAGTTAGCAGATGATTGGGAAAGCAAGGAACTAACATAAATTCTATAACTTGCAGCTCTACATAGATTGAGTGATGAATTCCAATATGAGAACAATCCAGGTTTATGTGGAGTTGGTTTCGCTTCCTTAAGAGTTTGCTCTGATTCTGACAACCAAAGCAAGAGTAAACCCGAAGCTTTTACACCAAGTTCTTCTGGCTATGCAAGGAAAGATCTACCTGAATCAGCAAATCTCCCCTCAAATTGCAGCGGAGCGCAGTGCTCAAAATCTTCTAAGTCCTCCCATGCTGGTATTATTTGTGGGGTTGTTGCAATTGCGTTGATCACCGTTATTGGTCTTTCAATGTTCTCAATGTACCGCCGCAGAAAACAAAAGATTGGAACCAACTTGGATACTACTGATGGTCGGCTTAGCACGGACCAGGTTAAGGATGTTCACAGGAGAAGTGCTGCACCTCTTATTAGTCTTGAGTATTCAAATGGGTGGGATCCTCTGGGAAAAGGTTCACAAGAATTATTTGAGAATTATATGTTTAATTTAGAGGATGTCGAGTCTGCTACCCAGCACTTTTCTGAAGTGAATTTCCTAGGGCGGAGCAATTACTCAGCTGTTTACAAAGGAGTATTAAGAGATGGATCTATAGTTGCTATCAAGCGCATAGCCAAGACAGGCTGCAAGACTGATGAAGCAGAGTTCTTGAAGGGATTGAAGATCCTGACTTCCTTGCAGCATGGAAATCTTGTCAAACTGAGAGGATTTTGCTGCTCAAAGGGGAGAGGAGAGTGTTTTCTAATCTATGATTTTGTTCCTAATGGAAACTTGCTTCAGTATCTCAACTTAAAGGATGGCACCGACAAAGTTCTCAATTGGTCTACTAGAGTTTCCATTATCAAGGGCATTGCCAAAGGTTAGTAGTATGAGGTTAACTTCCTCGTTTGCTACTTCTGCTTTCACAGTGGTTCTGTCATTCATGTTATATTTTGAGTTACATACGCCTAAGTTGTGTGCATGGTCCAAGGGCTAAACTTTACTCAAGAAGAGTCTTAATTGGGGTATTGCCAATTTGATGCAGTTCTTGTATAAGTGTTTTTGAGAGTCTTTACTTATAAAAATATGGATCTTCTTATCACAAATAAACCCCAACAAACTTTACTCCAGAGTTGGAGTAGAATTTTGGAGGAAAGCTTGAATCTTTGCCTGATGAGCAAGATGAATAATTAGGGTATTCTGAGAAAGTTTATTCCTCTAAATGCTTGATTAACCAACTTGATATGTATTAGTAATATCATTTGAAGTTCACTAATTGTTCCTTTTTACGTCTTTTCTTACCAGGTGTTGATTATATACACACCCCACAGGGAAGTAAACCTGCTTTGGTTCACCAAAATATATCGGCTGAAAAAGTGTTGATTGACTGGCGCCTTACTCCACTACTCGTGGGATCTTGCCTCTACAAGCTCCTCGCCGATGATATTGTCTTTTCAATGCTGAAAGCCAGTGCAGCCATGGGTTACCTTGCTCCGGAGTACACAACCACTGGGAAATTTACTGATAAGAGTGATGTATATGCTTTTGGCATAGTTCTATTCCAAATTCTCTCAGGTAAAACTAGAATTGACCAGTCAATTCGTCAAGGTGCTGAGTCTGGAAGATTTGAAGAATTTATTGATGCAAACCTACATGGGAAGTATTCAGAATCTGAAGCTACTGAGCTTGGTAAAATAGCTTTACTTTGCACCCACGAACTCCCTCATCAAAGGCCATCAATAAACACTGTGAGACAAGAATTAAGTCTGCTTGATGACAGTTCTTGAATTAGGAGATTATTTTCTTGCCCAGAGTTTTTCCAATTAGTGACAAATGGGCAAATGCTAACTGCCGGCTAATCTCATTTGCGGTGTATAAGTCATTGATGTAACCATCTATGTAATTGTTGTAGCTTAAGGTTGTTTGTAGGCTAGTCTGTTAGTCTGTTGCTGTTATAGAAATTTAGTGCAAGTGCCAAATGCACAACTGATGTTGTAATCTAATTAGAATTTTCAGGTAGTTGTCCTCACTACTTCAATAGTCACTACTTCACTAGTATGGTGTTGTACTGTCTTATGAATTTTGTTTCTCCGACTCGCTAGAAGATTGATGCAGTATTGTTGCATAATCTTGTTTTGAATAAATCCATGGCTGAAATTTATATAATTTGGCATTGCCTTCTTTTATTTTTGATTTTTTTATTCTTAAGGTGAACTAGCGGAGGATTAAAACAAAAGCTATCAAGAATTACTACCAGGTAGATCATGTTCAATTAATAGAGGGGTTCAGTGACCCTAACCCCCCACTATAATTGATACTCATAGATACATGTTAACATCAACTAGCTCACATTAATATAGCGTTAGATTTTAAAAATCCGCACTTTAAGCACATAAAAAGTCACGGTGGTCTCACAATAACTTAATACAGACTACTCCGTAGACAAAATTGTCTCACACAGGACTTTCCTACATCGGGTCCATGCCAGTGTTTTCTTCAAATGCATGTACAGAACTTCATATTTAAGGAATTAAATTTGGTTCACTGTTTGAAGTGCAATAGATCAGTTTCATTATTGACAAAAGTTCATAGCAGGAGAATTGCATATGATATAGGTATGTGACAAAAAGATATGTACAAGTTGAAATTTAGTACACATTTCACATTTGGAGTAAGCATCATCATTAAGTGTTTCAGTGGAATTACATAGAAGTGAAGAACTCATATTGGGGGCCCATTATGACTGGAGAAAGCTACTGTCCTAATAACTACTGCCCATGTGCGTTATGGGCCCATCACAGCCCTTTATCAATATGACAGAACTCAGAAAAAAACACTGTATTACTGATGTTTTAAACCATTTGCCTTCATTTTTTAAAAAAAAAAACATGATTTTTTTTTATTTTTTTTTTAAATATGACAAATTCCTATTTCCTACCCTACCAAAAAATAATAGGGAGTAGTTATTAAGATTAATTAATATAATGGAATAAGTAAAGTAAAGATTGAAGTGAGCGTAAAGAAAGAGAAAAAACTTAGGCACAAAATGATTGGAAAATAATAGGGAGTATTAATGCTAGAATAGATGGACATCTGGACATGAAATGTGGTAGTAGTTGAAATATTTAAAATTGGGTTGGTTCTATTTTAAGATTGGAAAAAAAACAAAAACATCAATTGAAGACTATTTAGGGAATACATGTGTTAAATACGGGACTATGTCACACCCATCGATCATCAAGAGAGAGAGCCCAAGTATAAAGAGTTTTCATCTCAAAACTATATGGTTATGGTTATAAGAGTAGCCTCTTAGCCTTATTAAGTACGGATTATATAACTATGTAACACTTAAATCAATTGTTTGAAAAAGTCACGTGTCAACAAGGTATTATATTGAGTGATAGAAGTTAAAATGTAAGCTATTTGGCCTTTAACCAGCCCGAGTGTTAAGACTAAACATGTGGTCTAAGTAGTATGTAGATACACTATAGTAGTATAGCTTCTAATCCTGCTATAATCTACTCCGGTTTTTCCTAATGATCAGTGCTATAATGAGAAATAAATAATTCATTTCTCCTAAATGCAATAGTTCCCACAATTGGTAAAATACCTAGCAAATATTGCATATATCTCCATGTTCAAATATACAAATGTAGACAATTTTTTATCCGCTCAACATGTGAATGGACAAAAATTGTCCTAAGGTGATAGATAGAAAGAATTTTTTTTGTCTTCATCATTGGAAAATTGACAAAAAGAAGAGTCTAAAATTCACACATACACAGAATTTTTTTTGTTCTCTCTCTTGCATGTGAACATTTTTTGTCTTATTTTTAACTAGTGGTTTTGTCCTGCTTTATTTCACAATTTAAGCTCTCCTTTTCATACTAGTCTGTTCAATATCACAAGTTATGTTCTACTGAGACTGCTGGAAAAATCTTCCAGTATACATATGCAACAATTTGAACTTGAAACCCTAAAATCTTGGTTGTGATATTTCCACAGTATAATATGGATTACCAGGAAGAGAAATTTCAGCCTCATTTATCTTGGACACTTGTAACATACAGGACATTTTTGGTCGAGTCTGATGTTAATCAATTTGAGACTGATAGACCATCAAGATTATTATCTTAGTGAAAATCTATGTTATTTTGACTCTTCATTTTACCTCAAATACCCATGTCAAATACTCGACACTTGGACTTGGGTATGACACTAACACACTTAATTTTGGACCAAACTCAGGCGAAAATTTCATAATATAATATGACCATGTCTAACACTCAGATGCATACCCATGGTCATAGTAACATTGGGGGAAAACTGAAAATGCATATTGATCTATGGTCACACGTGAATGACAGCAGCAGTTAATTGGGGGAATATGAATTCCATTTCTTTACCTTAATCCCATCTGACTAGCATTCTAGCCTGATAATATAGTTTCTACAATGTATAATCTCTGGCCTGAATCAAAGCGTAGGAAAAAAAAAAAAAAAAAATCAAAATGATGGGACTAATTTTGCACAAGTATTGAGGATAGACACAAAGGATTGTTGCCAACCTTCAAAAAGCGACTATTAACATCATATTTGGTTTATAATTACATTTACATTAAGCTTCTGCAATCTGCCAATCTGCATGCATATCTGTATAGTATAAATGGAATATACACATACATACATTCGATGATTAATAGAATGAAGTCGTACCTAACTAGTTTACTAGTTCCAGCTCTGTGAATTCTGATTCCAACTTCAAGCTGAATCCTGAAGCACTGAAGTTTTCCAACAGAGAATAGACCTCTCCAGTATGAGGATGAGAATTATCTCTAACAAGAAACTCCTGGACTGCTCCATTAAGTTCAATAGAACTGCAACCAGGAAGTTTCTTCAATGCTTTGTTCTCCATTACAGATCTAATCCTGCTAACATTTTCCCACATGCCAAATCCAGCATACATGTTAGACAGAAGCACATAAGAGGCCGAGTTCCTAAAATCAAGCGTCATAAGGAGCTCAGCAACCTGCTGCCCTAAATTTAAATCTCCATACTTAATACAAGCACTAAGCAATGCCTCCAGATGATGTCATTTGGTTCAATAGGCATCTCGTCAATAAATATCTTCGCTTCTTTTAGGTATCCAGCACGACTGAGAATGTCAACCATGCATCCATAGTGCTGAAGCTTTGGCTCCAATTGATGCACTCTCCTCATCAGTTCGAAACACATTTTTCCTTCCTTCACTAAACCAGCATGACCACATGCATTTAGCAGACCAATAAATGTAATATCATCAGGCTTCAGAAGGAGTTTATGCATCTCCATGAAAAGCTCAAATGCCAATTCACCCAAGCCATGAACAGCTAACCCTCCTATCATGGCATTCCAATGATCAACATCTTTCCATTCCAAACTCTCAAATACCTGAATTGCACTATCAATGCTGCCACACTTTGAATACATATCTATAAGAGCCACAGCCAGACTCCCATCAATGGTAATTCCAATGGCCTGAATATAGGAATGCACAGCGATGCCCTCATCAACCTGTCCTAATTGAGCAATGGCAGAAAGAACTAAAGAGAGCGTAATTCTATCAGGGAACAAATAGTTCATTTGTAATACATCATGGAAGAATTTCAGTGCTTCGAGAAAATTTCCATTTTGAACATATCCAGCCATCATGGCATTGCAAACCACTATATCCTTTCCAGGAGCTTGATCAAACAAATTCCTAGCAATGTCAAGAGTGCCAATCTTTGCATAACCATCGATCATTGTGGCCCAAGTGATTACGTCTCTTTTAGGCATTCGGTTAAACAAGTCGTGGGCAACTTCCATTTGCTTGCATTTCACAAGTCCATGAATCATCAAATTCCAAGTAACCATATCCCTCTTAGGCATAACCTCAAACAACTCCCAAGCTTTATCAAGCTCATCTTCGGACTGTGTATACCCACCAATCATAGAATTCCAAGATATCAAATTCTTCTCTTTGATCGGCATACAATCAAACAACTCCCTAGCGAGGCTCAGAAACCCCGCCTTCACATACCCATCAATCATCGCATTAAAAGAAACCGAATCTCTCTTTGGCATTCTATCAAACACTTGGCGTGCAAACTCAACACACCCGCATTTCACATACAAAGAAATCAAACAATTTTGCAGATACAATTCCGACCCAAAATCCAATTTTTTCAACAACCCATGAATCTGCATCCCTTCTTTCAAAAACCCAGATCGAGAACAAGCTTTCAGAACCAAAGAAAACGAGTATTTATCAACATAAACACCATTCTCAAGCATGAAACTGAAGATGAAAAGACCCTCTTTTGGTTCAAAATTACCAGCAAAAACTGACTTAATAACCAAATTAAAAAGAAAAGGATCGAAACGGGTTTCTGGGTTCAAAATCAGATTATGTTGCGACAACAGTAGGAATCGAGCAAAGTGGATTAGAGGTGAATAAGGGGAAGAAGAGAAACTGAGGATAATCTTTTGGGTAAGATTAGGGTTTTTGATGAACCCAGTTGTAATTAAGCGAGCATGAATTTGTTTGATGTCGTTGAAGGTCTTGCAATGGTGGAGGAGAGAGAGTGTAGGAACAGCGGAGTTCCATGGTTGAATTGGATTTGTAGAGAGTAGTAGCATCAATTTTAGCGGGAAAATTAGCCCAACAAATTGTAACAGTGGATAAAATGCTGTTAATATGGTTATGATCTCTAGATAGGGCCGCTTGAGGTCCTTTCCCTACTGCTTTGGGGGGAAATAATTGGCGGTCTGTTTTACTCGACTTATCTTGTTTGAAATTATTTTACGGTGTACTTTTTAAATGAATTTTATCTAATTAGCTGAACTTGTTTTATTTCAAAGTCAAAATCATTTGACTATGGCCTAAAATATATATTTTAAGCAATGCAATTCGAATTGACTAGGTAAATTTTATTCTACATTAGTTGTATTTATCGTTCACCCAAAACTATCATATATAAAAGTATTGTCATTGCAATTTGAAAGATGCTTACAAGTAAATATTATAACTTTATACATTTGTTTTGAGTACAACATAGATTTATACAATTGTTGCTAATCTTATTAGTACATAATCTCTAACAATTTCCGATATAAGGTGTACATAATTTGTTGAAACTAATACAA